GGGAAGCGGAGCACCGCCCCACCGTGCCCGGTGCACACGACCGACCTGTCCTCGAGGTAGGACCCGATCAGCCGACGGAGATACGCAGGGACGCCGTGATACTCCAGCGCCCCTGCGATCACCGACCAGGGCAAGGTGTTGAACGCGTTGGCGATGTCAAGAGACACCGCCAGTGCAACCCCGCCCCGGCCGACAGCCTTATCAGAGAGGGCACGCACGCGCATCACCGCGTCGATGGTCGAGCGGCCCTCCCTGAATCCAAACTGCTCCGCTGACAGATCGGGACCCACCCGTTATAAAGAAGCTATATTAACTTCGAACAACGTTTGGAAACAGCTAAGTCACATTACTACAGCAGGCATCCTAATGTTGTATTAAAAATGGTAGAAAAATTCTAACGAGGGCTGTATTTAAATTTTATAATGTTTTTGAAGTGAAACTTCTTTATCGACGTAGGGAGGAAAAAACGTATGTAACGTTTTTCAGTTACGCGCCATTTTAATTTCTTCCGTTACGCGCCATGTTTATTTTATTTCTATTTAGTTAGCTATCAACAGATGTAGCTGCACGTAAATTCAACAATCCCTGAATCGCGGTGACGAGATGTTACACAGTTGATGGTCGTTCTCGTATTTCTCTGGCTAAATCATACCTACCTGGCGTCGGGATACCGTGATCATGCAGGCGGTTCCGCCGGGGTGCGGCTGCTCCATTGCACTGCGGAGTGGTTGACCCTTGTGATTATTTTTATATTTTATAAGTTTCACTTCTACCGTGTGTGACTTGCAGACTTGCACACACACACACACACACACACACACACACACACACACGCTTTTATTATTATAATTTATTTCTTTTATTTATTATAATAAATTTTATAATGAACTCCCATGCAATAAACTGTCGCTTGAATGTTTGTTGTACACCAGAAGCAATTAAAAATAAAATCGAATTGTATTATGTACCTAGTCTTGCCACAAATACTGAGACAAAGGAAAAAAAATTCTATTGCAAATAACATTTATTACTTTTACTGTGTGTTAGTTTAATACATAAATATAAGTCAATTTTCTCATCCGTAAACAAAATTTTTCTATGATCTCCCTTTGCGTACCGCTTCAGTAGTTGTTTCGATTTTACCACCCTATTCTCTTTTAAATTATCAGTTAAGAAATGACCCGTACGTCTCTTATTGGCTGCAGGTCCTAAGTCATCTTTTAACACGTTAACTGCGAAACGAGGCCTAAATCACCCCTCATGCAACTTCCTTGTGGTGCGGCAAGGAAAAACGTGAACATCTCTGTCGTGCGAAGGGCATAGCTTTGGTTTGGTCCAGTATAGAAAAGAGATAAATGTATATTTGAGACGTGCTAATGGTCGCGGACTCGGTGGTTATCCTACCTTGGTACCGGATGTCTTAGGCCTCGTACCGCACTGAATTAATATAATTTTAATGCAGTGCGGAACGAGGCTAAAACGTCCCATATCCCTCCGGACCTCGTACCGCACCCAACGCGAGCTTCCCGCGACTAGTGTTGTGCATCACGTCGATTGAAGAGCACGTCTTTTTACATCGCCGAACATGTCTAAACGAT